AGCAAACCAAGGAACTCAATGCTTATTTGTGAATCATGTTGCTAACCATACTAATTACTACTTAATATGAAGTACCTTAACAATTACACACACACACACACACACACACACACACAAATAATTTCAGAATCTTAATTTAGAACTGAAATCAATTTCAGAAATTGTCTAAAAAAAGTGTAATGATACTCATAATTGAAATCACACTTTTTTGGACAATTTCTAATATTACGATGACTTCAAATTAAGCTAATTACTCCATATCCACCAATGTATCTCCTAGGCTGCTGCCTACAAAAACCGTACACTCTTACACACACACACACACACACACACACTCTAACACATACACTCTTACACTCACTTACACACACACATACACACATAGTAATTTCAAAATCTAAAATTAGAACTGATTTCAGTTTCTGAAATCTGAACATACATAAGTGCTCAATCTAAGAAGCACAACCACTAAGAAAACTAACTATACTAGCAGCAATAACAAGAACGCAACAATGATGCTTAAATTTAAAATAACAACACAAGAACGATTGTACCACAACAACACAGCTTATTTTGCTCATTTTATAGTTGCTCATTTTTTTTGTATTTGCTCATTTTAATTATATATGTTCAATTTACATACCTTCAATTGAAATACTCAAATCGAAAATTGAGCTCATTCAATTGGACATAATAACATTAACAAGCAATTTATTAGTCCTTAAATACTCAAATCGAAAATTTCTCATTGAATTTTAACGAATATAATTGAATTTTTTAACAAAAATTATCAAAAAATTTAACGAACAATTTGAAATTCTTAAACACAAACAATTTGAAATTCTCAAACACTAAGATTAACATGCAATTGAAAAACTTTTTGTAAATTTTGATGCTAAGATTAAACTAAGATCATTGAATTTACAAAATTTATAAAACTAAAAGAATTACAAACCTCAATAATTTATGGAAATTGATACTCGTGAACAAGAAGAGGAGAGAGAAATTGTCGAGTTTAAAAAGACGCCATTGATAAATTCTTGAAGCTTCGTGGTGGAGAGAGAGAAGAGCAGAGATTGGAGTTTCATGGTGGAGAGAGAGCAGAGCAGAAGCTTAGAAACAGTTAAGAATGGTTGTTAGAGAAGGTTTGTTAGAGAATGTTTATATCATTAATCTCAGCTATTGAATTTATTACAATCCAATGGCTGAGATTTGTCCTCACATAAATAATATGTTCTCACATAAAGAGTGGTTCTCACCGGATCCCAACCCTATATATATATATATATATATATATATATATATATATATATATATATATATATATATATATATATATATATATATATATATATATATATATATATATATATATATATTGTGAAGATAAGTAGTTGCACTTGGTACATTGATTAGCCATGGTAGCGAGTGATTGTGGATTCAATTTATTTATTTTTTTCATTTTAATTTATTTTTTAATTTTAATTTTAATTTATTTTTTTTATTTTTTTTATTTTTTTCAGTTGAGTGTCAAATGAAGAGTGTAGAGAGTTGGTTGATTGAAAAGTAATTTTTGAGTATTAATTGATTGATCGTATTCATGGACATATATTAAATAATGTAATTTATTTATTTATTGACGTAATTTGATTTAATTATTTATTATAATTTATTACTTATTGTTGAACTATTAATATTTTTTTTATCTTTTATTTTTTATTCTTTTTGTAACAATTTATTAAAGGATCGTAATAATAATTTATATTTTCTTTTGTCAAGAGAATTTGAACTTGCATACTTTGGCTAGCCAAAGTGTTAGCTAGGCACAGTTTTAGCCATCGAAAGGGCTATGTTTATGAGGTTCTACGAACAAAATATAGTAATTGAGCAACATTCACCTAGTCCCCAAGTATGGCTTGTTCCCAAAGGAAAACAGGTGATGGGCTACCTATATTATATAAGTACCATAAGCTTTTTTGGCACTCTTACAACAATAGGAAGCTGCATCATTTTATTGATATCCAATTTACTCGAGGTATTATAATGTATTGCTTATTGTTGTATAAATTTTTAGTTTTTTTATTTTTTTTGTAACAATTGATTAAATTTTTTTGTTTTGTATATGTTTTTAACGTATTGCTTGAAAAGCATCCTAGCAACCTAAGAGCTAGTTGACTTATTCAAAAATAAGTGTTGGCTTTAGCTTTTTTTATGCGGCCTTTTGCTATCATTTTAGGAAATGATAAATTTACCGCATAGGTTATGAGATCATTACCATTATATTGATCGGTAAGATTTTAGGTCAATAATAATTTTTAATTTTATTACAAGAAAATAGATAAAATTTCTAATCGATTGATATCTATTAATATGGAGTTAATACCCAATTAATTTCTTTGTGGATGTTGCAATTACCTTCACACTAAGCCTCTTCACTTGGGATGGTATCCAAATTTAATACAAGAAATTACAAGTTTCTCATTACTTCAATTCATGTTTTTGTAGTGCGTTTGGAACTGTCGTATTAATTGTTGAATTTTGCCTAGTAAATATTAAATTAGGTAAACGCTATATCGTGAGGAGTCATCAAAAGATTAATAACTAGGTAAGTGGCAAATAATCTCGACTCACAGTCATCATGATTGTGAGATTTCACAACATTCTATCTGTTTTTTTTTTATTTTTTTATTTTTTTAGACATAATGTCACTTGCTTAGAAATTGAAACTATGATTCACTAAGCTATCCAAAATTAACAAGTATTACTCTATAGCTAACATTTGAGAAAATTTCCTTTTGCCTTTACTGAGAAAAAAATTTGTTTGAAAATTGCACATATATTACATGTATATTATTTTGCACAAATATAACATATAATACGCGTACTTTAAATTGATAGATTAATCACAATTTGATAATTAAAAGTTGATTTAACTTCACATAATTTGCTAAAAATTACAAAAAAATATTTTGTGTATTTGTTGCTTGCCTTTGGAATCAACCTAATTATCACATAGTATTGCACATATTTGACACATATAATACATGTACTTTAAATTGATTGATTAATCATAATTTGATAACTAAAAATTGATTTAAATTCACGTAATTTGCTCAAAAGTACAAAAAATATTTTGACCATTTGTTGCTTGCTTTTGTAATCGACCTGATTATATATACTTCCTTCATTTTTTTTATTATTGCACCATACAAGTTGGGCACAATAATTTTGATAGTGGGTAAAAAGAAGAGAGAGAAAGGTAAAAATACAAAAGTGTCAATGTGATGTAACATAGACTAAATAATAAGTGTGAAAAAGTAAGGGTATGTTGGGTATTTGCAGTGTGAATAGAGATATTTTTTGTCCTAAAATAGAAATGGTGCAATATTTGTGAAATTTTCTTAAAAAGCAAGTGGTGCAATATTAAAAGAACAGAGGAAGTATAATGGTTTTATCATCAGGTGCTAAAAGGGAAGACACTTTTAGGTGTTTACATTTATGTCTATGATGGATGGCGATGTAGTCATTTTTCTCACTAAAACCTATTGTGTACACCCGATTTACAATAAATTGAACAATTTTAGGGTAATTTTGATCCAATCTAGGGTAACTTCTGACCTTTGGGGTAACTTTAAATATGATATAATTTTTATGTGCATAAGACACGAAATAAGTTTTATAAAGGTAATATCGTTACCCCATTGACACTTGATTTATATTTTTTTAAATAATAAAAATCATGTAAAATCGGGTTTACAATAATATTAAAGAAAATTACTTTATCAAAATAAAAAAAAAAACACAAAATTGCTTTTTAACAGCAAATCTTCTACAATTTTTATTTTACCACCAAAAAAAAAAAATTGTTTTCACCACCACAACACCACTTAATGGATTCCATCTAAGAATTCATTAGTGGGGCCGCATGTCCATGTGTCACTGAGCAATTGCTCCTAAAAAAAAAAAAAAAAAACCCCAGGCGTCTACTACCCAGAGCCACCACCGGCACCCCCTTCCCATCCTTGCCCCATCGTTAGCACCCCTTGTGCCCCCTACTCAGCCCTAGCCTACTACCAAAATTACTATTTATAATGAGGAGTTGAGTGTGTGACGTAATTAGATGATCTATGGGAAACATAGATGTTTTTAGAAACGCTTTTTAATATATTGATTTAGATTTTGTTGTACAAAATTACCATTAATGCCACTTAACAGTTTTGTTGTAGTAAAATAACCTTAAGCCTTAACTGTCATTAACAGGGGCGGACCCACCTTTAGTCATAGTGGGTCCGGTGACACAGTATTTTTTTTAAAAAATAAATATCAAAGAGACCCCTTATTATAGATAGGGGGTCTCTTTGATGCTGCTAGTGGTAACAACAAACAATATCAAAGAGACCGCTTATTAAGATAGGAGATCTCTTGATGCTGCTATTGCTACAAAAGACTTGGTGTGTTTTTTTTTATATATTAAAGAGATCTGTTATTTATATAAGAGGTCTCTTTGATGCTGCTATTGCATTTCACATTTTTTTTGCGTTACTTTCTTTTTCATTAAAGAGACCAGTTATATTTAATAACTGGTCTTTTAAGTTATCTCACTTTTTTTTGTATAATTTTTTAATAATTTTTTTTCCCTTTTTATATCTTATATTTGTACAACCAATTTTAATATTTCCCATAAAGCTTATCAATTAACTAAAAAATCATAAAGTTAATTCAATATAATAATTTTATTGTACCATTGGTTTATAACATGTTATTTGTAGTATTTTCGACTTGTAAAATTGAATTCTTAAGTACTGTATTTGGTTGTGATATGAATTTTTGTGTCCTATTTTTGGATTGAAATCAATTTGGTATATGTATATATACATATATATATATATTTTATATATATAAGTTTTGAATTGAAATTAATTATGAACAAGACATGGAAAAAAAAATTGTACTTTCACAAAATGATCAATAATTGATGGTGACACACTATCTCGGAAATCCTGGATCCGCCACTGGTCATTAACGGTTATCAGATTTCTAAATTGGTGATTAGATATTTTCAGCAGCTTTATGTCTACTCCACAAATTCTTCACATTATCAGTTTACCTGTATCTCCCTTCCTTCTGCTTAAACCCTCTCAAAACCCCCCATTTTCAATCACCATTTTCTTTCTCCTTCAAAAATGCCAAAACCCATCTTCAGTTTCAGCTATCTTTGCTAAACTTCCACCTTTTTCACCCAAAACCTTCAATTTCTTAGAACTAATGGCTGCCACAAAACTCTTCTTCCTCCCAATTTCAGATAACTGTTTCAAATTGAGCTCATACCCTCAATTATCCACCATCTCTATCAACTTCAAATGCCCGTGTCGCCGCCATTGTCGTAAACCCCAATTATTAATCTGCAATGCTGTTTACACTGAAGGGGGTTCCCGGACCAAATCATCCTTTGGAAAGGAGAAGGTTTCTGACTCAGAATTCGACCCGATTTCGGCCTTAAACGAGAGAATAAGGAGGGATCATGGAACCCGAGACTCTACGAAACCAGCTTTGGATTCTAAGGAGGCTGAGAAGTATATACAGCTTGTGAAGCAGCAGCAGCAAAGAGGGTTGGAGAAATTGAAAGGGAAAAATAAGGAAGAGAAAGGAGGAGGAAAAGAAAGTGGTGGGATTAGTTATAAAGTTGATCCTTATACTCTAAAATCTGGGGATTATGTAGTTCATAAGAAAGTGGGTATTGGAAGATTTGTTGGGATCAAATATGATATGCCAAAAGATGGTTCTGAACCTATTGAGTATGTGTTTATTGAGTTTGGAGATGGTATGGCTAAGCTTCCTGTTAAGCAGGCGTCGCGTATGCTCTACCGATATAATCTGTATGGTTTCTTATGATCCTTTCTTATTGAAATTCAATCTTAATTCCTAGATTACTCACTTCTTTTGTTAGTGAATTTGGAGTGTTAGAAATTTAGAATATGAGTTAGGACTTGTTAGATGAATACTTGAATAGGGAAGAACTTGTAGGACAGTACATATTTGAGCTTTCTTGAGTTGGGTTTTGCCTGAATATATAATGTCTTTTGCTGCTGATGTTAGTATTTTGACATTTGCATTCACCTTCTTGTGAGAAGGTTGAATGTGAAACAAAATTGTATGACAGTTGTAGACCTTTATTTATCTCAGTAATGGAATATTTTTGCCAGTATAATAAACAACTTTGTGAGGGTCATGACATACAATAGTTTGCCAGTGTAATAAGCAACTTTGTGAGGGTCACGATATACGAAGTATTATCTTGTTAAGACTTTGTTATGTTTAATATTAGTGAAAATTTCGCTGGTATTGTTGTGCATTTTTGTTTCTTTTGACATTTGCATGCTACCACTGTATTCCTTACAACTGCTGGCATTAGTGAATCAAGAGTTTACTAAGAATATTTAAGTGCCTTTTTTATGATGATTCTTGTATATCCAGTCTTCCAGGCTCCAGCATTCAATTATTGAGTGTTATGTATTTCCTATTTCAGTCCAAATGAACCAAAAAAGCCACGAACACTCAGTAAACTAAATGACACAAGTGCATGGGAAAAGAGGAGGACCAAAGGAAAGGTTGCAGTACAGAAAATGGTAGTTGACTTGATGGAATTGTATTTACATAGGCTTAAACAGAAAAGACCTCCGTATCCAAAATGTCCATCAATGGATGAGTTTACTTCTCAGTTTCTTCATGAGCCCACACCAGATCAAAAACAGGTAAAACACTTTCTATTACTGAAAAGCCATTCTTTTTGCAGCATCACTACTTCTCATTGGCAGTTAAATGCAATATAACTATCTAAGTGGCTGTTTGGTTTATGTTGGAAGTAAATATCCGTGAGACTTTGCATTTCATGAAAGTTATCTCCCTTGTTAATCTACAAAGTGGAATGGTTTATATGTTTGATTAACACTTTAGAATTTGCACTTCATAGGAATTTGGAGGGTAGATATTCAAATTAACCAAAACACATGGGGGAATTGTGGCTCATGAAGGGGGGGAGTGGGCTAGCCACTTCCCATGGTGTATGAGAATTCGAAATATCCATGTAATATCAACTTACCACAAACCTTTTTCATGTAAACCAAATAACACTACACATAAGCACTTACTAGGATTCTAGGAACTAGACCATGTCCATTAATGTCAATCAAACAAGGCCTAAGCTGTGCTCTATTCACCTTAATTTCACTAATATGAACTTATGAGAACTTATTTGCTTGAATTGAACTTATAGTAGTTATGAATGCAACTCCAGTAGGCGGTAGCCCTTATTAGCTTTGATCTATAGTTTTAAACTTAGTGAGCTTGATTTTCATTACTCAAATTTTAAGAGTTTGTTATTCTTATTTGAACTTATTTTTCTAATATAAATTAATTAAGGCAAGGGGAACAAAGGCTATTGCTAATCCTTGAGGCATTTTTTGTTATTCTTATTTGAACTTATTTTTCTAATATAAATTAATTAAGGCAAGGGGAACAAAGGCTATTGCTAATCCTTGAGGCATTTTCATTGGAATTTCCTATTTAATATCCGACCTAGGTTTAATAACGCCCCCCCCCCCCCCCCCCCCCCCCCCCCCGCCTGTTTTTTTTTGTAATCAATTATGGAGGAAAGGGGCTTGTGGCCATATAATTATTAAGTACTGCCGATGGTATTATTACAAAAATTATAACTAGTTAAAATAGGCATGAAGAAGCTAAGTGAAATATACCTCTTAATCTTTTGGGGCATGAAAATCTTTCACGAGTTTTTATTTTTTTTATTTATTTTTTTCCTTTTCTTGTGGAGTTTGATCTTAGCGTTTAAGTTTCTTGTTTCTTTGGTTTTTGTGGCAATAAGTGACTAATATCAAACATAGATATTTTTCTTAGTTCTAGTTATACAAAAGGTTGTATTGTAGGAAGGGCTTATGTTGGTGGTATGCTGAAATTTCATCTGAACTTGTTCAAGATTTCCCTTTTGGAGCCTAATGGCCCCTTGAAGGAACCATCATTTATAGTGGATCATTGAGGCACACCAACTACTCTAGCATGCCACATCACCCCTTTTAGACAGAAGGACAACAAACATCTTGTATTATTTTATCTTGGATGTATCATATACTTGTATGAGTTGTATCTGTCAAACTACCCAAAGTTGCTCTTTATATCCAAGGTTTGTCTTGCTATTGTGAACATTGTCTCAAATTTTAACACAATTTGAGCAGTTGATACCCCAAGTGCTTGAGAGTTAAAATGTCAAATCAATGCTTTAGTATATATTCTGGAACTATCAGTTAGGTTTGACCAATTATGAGCTTCAACTACTTTTTTCTTTCCTTCTGGTTTAGTTGGAATAATTCTTTCTTGGGAGAGGAGGGGGAGGGGTTTTTACTAAATTAGTTTATGCAAGGCCTTATAGATCTATATCCTTAGCCTCATTACCTAGATGCTGCATATTTATGCTATGTTTTGATGCACACCTCTATCGAATTATAACCATGTCAAAACACAAATGTCATTTCCTGCTTCATGGTTGATACTTCTAGTTAGAGTACTTGACATTTTCTGCAGGCTTTTATTGATGTAGAGAAGGATTTGACAGACAGAGAAACTCCAATGGACAGATTGATATGTGGAGATGTTGGATTTGGCAAGACTGAAGTTGCATTGCGTGCAGTCTTTTGTGTTGTTTCAGCAGGAAAGCAGGCAATGGTTCTAGCACCAACTATTGTGTTAGCCAAGCAGCATTTTGATGTGATTTCTGAGCGATTTTCCATGTATCCCAATATCAAGGTTGGACTTCTGAGCAGGTTTCAGGTAGGCCGAGTTGTAATTTTCTTAATATCATAGGATCAGTGATAGACCATGGATATATATTAGTAAAAGATGTATCAACAGCATTTATGCTTTTTATTTATGATGTTATCAAATTCCAACTTTACAGGTTGAGCATTGGCTGATATTTAATTAGACATTCAAAGTAAAGTACAATTAGTATTTAAGATATTAGTAAACCTAATACCAATAATTTCAAAGTAAGTGTTTTCCTATTGCTTAGCAGATATAAAATGCTCAATTGACAATCTGAATACTACATGTTTGATTTGCACAATACATTACATACATGAATTTTTCACCACTTGTAGGCTCAGTTTCTTAAATTTATCTGCTGTGCAAGTCACTTTTTTTTTTTTTAATTTTTTTTATTATATTCTGCTTCGTTATGCTGTTGCTTTATGGGAGCTAGGTAGGGGTAATATATCATTCTGGGAAGGTGTCCATTTTTCATACCTTGAACTATTCAGTTGTCATACTTTAGACCATTTACCCTAGCAGCATTGGAGCTTAAGTGTAATGCAATGTATTTGAGTATGCTAAATTGTTAAATGTGAATTTCTTCTCATATTGTACCTTTTCATATTAAAAAATGTAGACATTGTGTGTACAATCGTGGAGATCGGAATATTGGATCAGGAAAGGCCTCTTCATTTGTTCATGGCTATGTTTATTCCAGGCACATACTAAGAAATACTATGCCTAAGATTCAGCTCTATGTGACTAGCATCTTCTCCTTCTATTCCTTTTTCATTGATTTATATGGCTATTTCTCTAAACTCAGGTCCATAACAAACTCTCTGTTCAACTTCCTTGTCCCACTGCCACTTGATGGAAACTAGTGGCAGATGCCTCTGGCCTAGCATCAGTTTATTGAGCATCTTACCAATCTGATAGTCAAATAATTGCAAGAGCTTTGGGTTGGAGATCTTAGAATTCAATGACCCTATTTTTGGAGAGACTACAAGAGACCGTGTGAGGGTGGGAAGAAGAGAGGTGCCAGACTCTAGTGATTATAGAGGTGAATATGAGAAGCAGGGGTACACTTCACTAAGTTACAAGCTAAGGGGAGTAACAAGGGGATGAATTGATGATCAAAGGGATATTTTGGGGGCAGGGGGGGGGGGGGGGGGGGGTGGGGGGCGATGAACTGGGTTTCTTGCAGATGGGGTATGAATTTTGAATTATTCATAAACTGATACGGAGAATCAAAGATATCCGCATGGTGTTGTTATTAAGGAATGGGTTTCCAGATTCTTGAAACCATAAAGATCCTTTCTCATTTGCAAAACTGGATATTTAACTTTTAAACTCTGAAAGAAAACCCCCTAGTAAATTAATAAAAAAATAACTTGCTGTTACGTACTATATTTAGTTTTGTTAGGAACTTAGGCTTGCTTCCTATATGCAGACCAGAGGAGAAAAGGAGGAATACTTGCGTCAGATAAAAAAGGGTGAACTGGACATTATTGTGGGAACTCATTCACTTCTTGGAAATCGCGTTGTTTATAATAATCTGGGCCTTCTTGTAGTTGATGAGGAGCAGGTTTGGCTCCTTTCTTCTGTATATCTTTTAGATGATGATTATGTGTTTGCCATCTTCTTTTACATATTTTCATGTATGCTGTATTCTTCTCTTTCTTCTATGTTGAGGTGGCATATATGACTTGTGGTAGTTTCTCAAATTGGTTATTCACATTTTCTTGTATGCATAGCTACCAATATTTTTGTTCAGTTCTTTGTCAGACCATTCTATTCAACAACAGTATCCCATTGCCTATGATGAGGTACTTCATAGGGCATAATAGGAGAGGGAATCAAATGTATGCTACCTTAACCTTTTGACCAACTCTTCCTTTGATTTACACCAAAAAACTTTTGATTTGGTACATAAGAAACTAGCATATATGGAGTATTTATTAACATTTTATCTACATTGTAATCTTATGTTGATAATCTATTTGTTCTTGATCATTTGGTTATATTGAAAATTGTTTGGGCTTTCTGTTCCCGCATCTGTAATCTCATTTCTTGATTTGTGACAATGATCAAGATGAGCTAAGTTAAGTTATGATGTCTTGTTGTAGTATGCACTTCATGAGCTGGTAGATGTTATTCAAAATTAATCCAAGTATTTCCTCTAATACTGCAATATTGAGTATGAAGTATAATTTTTTAAAAGCACTTTTAGTTGAACAAAGCATGGCCTTTTTTTTGTATTTACCAATCTAGAGTCCAGCTCCATTTTGTTTGACCTTGATATGTGGTTTTTATGCCGCTATGAGGCCTATTTCATTTACATTACTTTTAAATATTTAAGCGCTCTAAGTTTTCGATTACACATTTTATGTTGCTTGCTGCCCCCGAATCTTGATGAAAACATCAATTGTAACATTCTAAAAGCACACAATTAAAATTCTCCATGTGGAAACACAAATCAAAATTTATATATAAAAAAGAGATAAAAGAAGAAAGACAAATTCTCACTGTGGAAGGTATACAATCAATGCAAAATGCTTTCTTTTTCCTCTGTAAATTATGAACTGATCATTGCCTATGGAAGTCTTATTGATGGCAATCATACAAAGATTAAACAGCCATAGAAGGCTTTCTCTACTTAAGCCCTTAGTATTAACTAGATTGCAACTGACCAATCCACATCTTACCACTCACCTTTATTTATCTATACTAACGCGATAACGCTCTATATTTAATCTATAATGTCATACCTACTCTCCCAAAATACAACTGGAGGAACACTTTCTGCTCTCAAACAGAAATGTTTTGGAGTCTCTAGGCATAATATATGCATGGTGCAAGTGTAGCCATCTAAACTCCAAATCACAACTTACTGTTGCGAACTGTTTTTTTTTTTTTTTTCTTTACAAAAAAGAAAATATTTCTATATATCTTCCTCATTATACATTAAAATTTCTGCTAGTACAGCGGATTCCCAATCATCTGTGTACAATAAAACAAATATCAATGAAACCACTTTCAAATGTCTCAGGATTGCTGTCTCACAAAAGAAGATTTCTCATCACAAATATATGTGGCAGCAAGTCTTGTTCTTGAATTCAGTTTTTGCAAGATAGCCAGCTAGCAAATTATGGCTTGATTGGGTTCAAGAGCTCTATGCCAAACCCATCTGCTTCACACAACTTTTGAGTGGATACCTTAAATCCTAATGGTAGCATCATTGTAAATAGGCCTTTTGGATGTGCAAATCACTTTGTACCAAATAACCCTTATTATTCATGTCCTCAGAGCTAATTATGAGCTTTCAATGCAAGTTGCCAATCATACTTACCTACATGAGTCATAATCCATGTACTTGCTTCCAAAAAGAAGAACCTGATGTAATGCTATGAATATTTCATGCCTGTCAAATTCATTGAAGGATAGCAAGATTTCATACACTCCTAGAACCCAAAATGCATAGAAAGTGAAGTTTGTCACTTATGAAGTTATTATGTATAGTTTCCATAGTACAACTGTTTAATCGAGATGTTTTATACATGGAATTTAAGTACTATCTGAATTTTTGAATCTTGAATACTTTTTAAATTATCTATTTGCAATGAATGATAAATCCCTCTGATATATGTGTGGATCTACTGTTACAGTGATGATGCAATATTTCTTTGCTTTACAGAGGTTTGGAGTCAAGCAGAAGGAGAAGATTGCTTCCTTCAAAACCTCAGTTGATGTTCTCACACTGTCAGCGACACCAATACCACGAACACTCTATCTAGCTTTGACAGGGTTTCGTGATGCAAGGTTTGTTTTCACTTTGAATACTATCTAAAACAGTTACTTCATTATAAATATAAGTAACTATAAACTGTATATGTATATCCTGTTATTTGTGTGTCTCTATATGTCATGAAATTGACACTGACTGAATGCTTTGATTGGTCTCAAGTGAAAGTGTTCAAAATAGAAATATTTATCTTAGACTTTTTTGTAATTTACATGATCATTGTTTAAGTTTAGATGCTTCTGATTAGACTTCTAAATATAAGGGTCTGACAAATACACTAGGGAGAGGTCCTCAGCTCATGTGTGACTAAACTACTTTCAGTTTTAGAATCAACTCCCTTTTCCTGTATCTCTTCTGCAGGGAAGAAGAAGGAAAACATGTAGATATTCTGTAGAATGTAGCTTCTATCTCTACAGAATTTTCCTGGTTCAGCTTGATAAATTATATGGTTTGTCTGCAGTTTAATCTCAACACCTCCTCCAGAGAGAGTCCCGATCAAGACACAGCTCTCAGCTTTCAGTAAAGAGAATGTAGTATCAGCAATTAAATATGAGCTGGATAGAGACGGCCAAGTCTTCTATGTTCTTCCTCGTATAAAAGGTGAAACAAGATTCTTTTCTTCAGTCAGATGTCTGTTCTAGTAGAAAATGATAATTATATTAAAAGCATCTGAAAAGGACTAGTAGCTACGTAGTATTAAATTTTAGAAATTTTACTAGGTTTATGGATTGTCTGCATAAGGTGATAATGGTAAAGAGGGAACATACATAGGTATTACAAAAAATAGCAAGTAGAACAGAGAAAGTGTAACAAAAGATTATGTACAGAATTGATTCTTAAATGTACATAAGTGTACACTAACTCTATTTGTACAGCTTTTTAGGTGCTTGTGTCATAAATTGCAAGTAATGGAAGGGTTTTCAACATTGTATTTCGTATAGTTGTATATGTCATAGGGCTATCCACCAAAAAAAATTGAAAAGGAGCTGTAAATTAGTATGGTTGATATGATAGTCAAAAGCTTTGCTTTATGTGTAGATATCTTGGCTGGGTTTGGCTGTTTGTATGAAATTTTGAGCTTATACTATTTTGCAGGACTTGAGGAAGTCATGGGTTTTCTTGAACAGTCCTTTCCAGATGTTGAAATAGCCATTGCTCATGGAAAGGTATTTCATCATATATTTTTCTTTATTTATTTCCCCTTTTACCTTCAGCTAGTTGATATCTACTTTTCTTGTAAATTATTTTAAAAAGTCAAAAATATGTCTCTCCGGAGAGATCTTTTAGGTTTGCAATAAATCCTATAATGAAGAAAAAGGAGCTTAAAGAGACTGAGAATTGAATTTCCACCAAGTCTATATCTATACAATAAACTTTAAAAAAGTGAGAATGCCTACTATTCATTTTGGGAAAATATCAATAGTGTTTTTGTCATGTTGGCATTGTTTTTTTCCCCATTTCTTTTCTTAATTAAATCTAGTTTTCTAACTATTTTTTTTCTTTTGCAATTTTATAGGTTAGGAAGAGTGTTTCCTTAAAAAAAAAAAGGTGAAATAATACTAATCACATTCTTATGTTGTATAGGGCAAGAAACTAAGAATAATTCATTATTTCTATAACATAATATATATATATATATATATATATATATATATATATATATATATATATATATATATATATATATATATATAACTTACATGTAATTTGAGAAAGAGAATAAATTTTTTTTATTAAATTTACAAATATATTGTTTGATTTTTTTTGTTTTTTTACTTTCTGTAATCTGTACTGAGTATTGTATTTTAAATTTTTCATGAGTCAACCAAACATATTATGCTCATAGTCTACACTTGCTCAGTTGCTCCCATACTCATAAATCATATTAATACATTTTCTCCTATAAACTGTTCCATAATTAATGTACATACAATTACATACTTGCACAATTAACTGAACACTAGCATAAGCAATATTTTTACAAGTATAATACTAACAGACATTCATCATCTACACATCAACCATAATTAAATTACTTGTACTTAGCAGAGTTGGGTTATCGTGCAATATAATTCAAACTAAACGATTATCATTAACGCAAAATCCATAAATATTAATTTCAAATTTGGGCTATTGCGCGCGATGGCACAGCTAGTTCTTAGAAAAGTATGATGGATCAAAATCGCTTTTTATACCTGAAAGAGATAACCTTGCGAAGCCTTCTTAGCATGACTGAACAGTGGGCACTGGAGTGCATTTGAACAGTAGTTGGTGAAGTTTTAAGTGAAATATTCATCTGAAATTTGGAATGGTGCATCCTGATAATTAAAATATATGCTTTTCAGATATTCTAGGCTGGCTCTGGAACTTTTTTTCCATTAGGCTGAAGTTTTGGGAATTACTTGTGCCTCATTTTGGTCTGATTTCCTGTCGTATGATGATATGCATACTATACATCTTTGCTTATTATTCTAATCAATTGGTGTTTGCATCTCACATTTTTCATCCACTCTTAATTCCAGCAATACTCGAAACAGCTTGAAGAAACAATGGAAAGCTTCGCCATTGGAAAAACTAAAATTCTTATATGTACAAATATAGTGGAAAGTGGATTAGATATCCAAAATGCAAACACTATAATTATTCAGGATGTTCAGCAATTTGGACTTGCACAGCTATATCAGGCATGTTACTTTCTGCCCAAACTGTGTACAAGTATTTATTTAAAAGTTCTAGACATTAAGGGATGTCTTTAACTATCTGCGATTGTTCAATTTGTATTGGTGAATAGCTAGCACTATATTAGATAATAGAGTTTGCATGTAACGATCATGGCTAATAGAAATAGTACAAGCTTTTTTTTTTTTTTTTTCTTCTTTTTTTTTTGGGGGTGGGGGGGTGGTGGTGGTGGTGGTGGTGGTTGGGTGGTGGTGGTGTAGGTGGAGGAGTGGTTAGAACCCTCTACAAAATAAGTTTCTGCATCAGAAGCTAGGGTATTAGCCACCCATTCCACACTTGTTCTCAAAAGTAAGCCTTGTTTCTAGTAAATGGTTGAGGAGAACCCTAAAAGGAGACAATCTTCTTATTAGTGGAGTTTTACAAGTCGTTAGGGTGGTTTTACAATATTTCTAAAGCTCTCAATGCTTATGGGATTGCTACGGCTTTCTAGGAGTTAATATATATATATATATATATATATATATATATATATATATATATATATATATATATATATATATATTATTCACAAACCTAAGAGCAGCCCTTTTTTCCCTCAGTTATATCATTTGTCTTTGCTCCATAATTACCATGTTTGGAATTTATTGTACTAGTTACATTTTCAAATACCACTAAATGATAGGGTGTCAAAAGAGCTCTTTTTTCTAATTATATGTCATAAATCAATAAGCCAAGTGGAAAATTCTAGGGTCTTCATGTGGTAAATTTTTTCTTAGTTGCTTTAGTTGATCCCCTCAAATTCTAGCTTCATTGGTTGGAAAATTCTTTTGGAAGTCGATAGATGCTTCAACAACAAAAGTTGGTATGGGTTCTTTCACCATATAATTGCTTTCTTTTCTGGCTAGTATTGAGTCTTGTTCACAATTTTCTTACACTTTGACATGGCCATTTATCTTTGGAGAAGGTTACTTGGCCTTGCCCTTTAGAGTTCATGTGTTGGCTATAGCTCTGTTCAAGGGTTTTGGTGAGCGTAATGAGAAAAAGTGCCATGGTGCAATGCTTTCATGGCAATTTTATGGTGTTTGGTTGGAGCGAAATTGCCGTGTCTTTTCTTTTGATTTGATGTCTTCTGGTTTGTTGTGGGACAGTCACTCATTTAGCATTGTTATGGGCCAACATGTCTGAGACTTTCAAAAGTTAATCAGTTGGGGAGGTTCAAAGAAATTGGGCTAATGCTAATCTCTTATTAGTCTTTCTGTTGATAGGACATTGCATGTCAGCTGTCCTCGTTGTACAGTGTACTTTTTTCAGTTGTCTTTTTATATTTACATGAGAATGGATGGTATAGGTTTCTGACTTTGCTGATTAATAGGTTTTTCTGTATTAACTTTTTCTGTTCGCTGTTTGCAAGGGATTAGCGAATTAAGAGTTATTGATTGAAAACAAATTTGTCTTTAATGCTTGATAGGAATTTACCTTTAACAACTTCTATTTTGGATGATTCACATACATTGTTGTGGAAAATGTATGTATGTATTACTATCTCTCCTACTGATTCTATATCTTTGTCACCCCAATTCCAATTCAACAGCTGCGAGGAAGGGTTGGGAGATCAGATAAGGAAGCTTACGCATACCTATTTTACCCAGATAAATCTCTGCTGTCTGATCAAGCACTGGTTTGTCTAGTTACCCATTGTTGCAATCTCAGTTTGATTAAAGTCGTTCAATCATTGTCATTTGTATCAACATTTTTTCTAAATTTCAAGTTGCAGTTACTGAGATGAATTTCACTTACACCTGTAGGAGAGACTTTCAGCCCTTGAAGAGTGTCGTGAACTTGGTCAAGGCTTTCAGCTTGCTGAAAGGGACATGGGAATTAGAGGTTTTGGTAATATATTTGGTGAGCAGCAAACAGGTGATGTAGGAAATGTGGGCATCGATCTCTTTTTTGAGATGCTTTTTGAGAGCTTGTCCAAGGTAATCTGTCTAATTCCTTTGATATATACCTATTATTCTTGTATCAAGCTTTTGACCCATTGTTGAAAAATAATTTTCCAGTCTTGTTTCAGCTAGGTTTTGTTTAGATAGCCTACCTTGAGAACCCTTTGGCTTTGCTTATTGTGAATTATGATTCTGGCCTTGTTTCGCAGGTTGAAGAACACCGGATTAGATCTATTCCTTATCAAGATGTTCAGGTACTAAATATCGTGTAATGATGTTAATTAACTGATAAAATGTGTTAGTGCTGCAACTTCTTAAAATAAGTCAGATTTTTGCTATAAGAACAAGCAAAAATTGACACATAAGAGTCAATAAGTCGTTTAAAGATAATTTCATCACAAGATTAATTGATAATGTACTCACACTTCTGAGCGGTGGTCTTAATAAGAATTGGAAATAGTTTCATTCCTGCAAAAGCACCAATACCTTAAAATTCCATTTCAGAAAGCAACCCTAAGGATGATAACAAAATGCATTATTTCCAGTTAATTGGTGTATGAGATTCAAGAATATATAATAGCATCCAGTAATGTGACCATGTCACAAATCCATTATGTGATTGATGACAAGCAATTTATGATCCAATTATTCACAATTCTATCCTTATCTAATTTCTAACTCCCTTCTTTTAAATTTTCCATTCCAGCTTGATATAAATGTCAATCCTCATCTCTCTTCTGAGTACATAAATTATCTAGAGAATCCCATGGAATTAATAAATGATGCTGAGAAGGCAGCAGAGAAGGACATCTTGAGTTTAGTTAAATTTACAGAGGATTTGCGGCGACAGTATGGAAAAGAGCCTAACTCAATGGAAATTCTATTAAAGAAACTCTATGTGAAAAGAATGGCAGCAGACCTTGGGATTAACCGAATTTGTGTCATTGGAAGGATAGTTGGCATGGAAACAAACATGACTAAAGATGTATTCAGGATGATCAAGGACTCCATGGCTTCTGATGTTTTGCGTAGTTCACTTGTGTATGATAATGGACAAATTAAGGTAAGTGTTTTATTCAGGCCTGTTATCAACTGTCCTTTCTCTGCAGAAGTGAACCTGTAGAACTTTTTTATTTATCTCATCTACGTACCTATTTGTTTCATGGCATTATGCTACCTTTTCATTTAGAAATTCCCTTTTTATGACTAGTATTATAGAGGGTTTGTCATACAAAACTTCCAGCAAATTGATTGTCATATCATGGACTTTCTGACAAGCTTTGTTGATTACTTCTCTGTTGAAAAGCAGAGAAGTTACCATAAGTTCCTTGTTTTGTTTTCAGTGAAGATGAAAGTTAGTTGGAAAATTTGACCGGGGATAAAAAAATGAAAAGCTATACTGTACTCCAATCTATTTTTTATAACTATATTTGTACAAGTCATCTTATACATTTGCAAGAAATAAGAGATATATGAAGTAATAAATAAAAAAAAGAAAAGCAGGGTGGGAAAATCTAAGGAAAGATGACCTATCTACCTTTACCATCTTCGGCATGCTTTACTCCTAATTTTTATCCTAGAACAAGCATCTTTTAAGCGTACGTGTCATCTATAAGGTGGAAGTGATTATATGAAATAATGTAGTTGGTGGATAATGCTCTCCTTGTTGCCTCTTTGTAACTTACCTAACGGCAACATGCTTCCATTGTTTTCTTTATTTGGTCTGACAGACTGAACTACTTCTGGAGCTACCAAGGGAGCAACTTCTCAATTGGATCTTTCAGTGCTTAGGAGAACTGCATGCTTCTTTGCCAGCCCTTATCAAATACTAGTGCTTTTGCATATGTGATATTATTTCATAGTTGGGATTTTTGATCACCTTAAAGGGAGAGAAGTACAACTTTACAAGGAACCTTGTTCACCGTGGCTTCAATTTTCTTAACCCTCCTGTGTTCGAGAAGCTGGTGATTATATTGATCAAAGAAACATTTTAAGAAAAACAACCTTACACAGACAGTCTGTATATAGCAAGTTATACTTGGCAGGAAAACCTAACCAGGTAAATTTCTTCTCAGGTGCCTCTTTTTGGTTTTTTCTTCTCATACTGATCCTGATAGCTGCATGTTGCAGAATTGCTGACCAGTTTATGTTGCAGGATGCAGGAATCCAGTGGGTAAAAGGTGCATCAGGGTTGTCTCTTTTTCATCCCATTTTCTTCCGATTTTCAGCTGGTAAAATCCCTGGAGTCTAAGAAGTAGGTTGGTGTTGCGATATTGCAAATGAATGGTCATAAGATCTTGCGAATTGCAAATCAAAGAAGGTGATCTTCACTTGGTCCAATTAAGCAAGATTATATCTCAAGCAGAAATAGAAGCATTTTGAAATAGATAATAACCTCTATTTGGCTGTAAGTAGATGGCCAATTATTTGTTTCAGGTGTTAGCGGCTATCTGATTTTTTATGCTGATTTGTATAGATGTTTGGTAGTCATGAATAGCACTTAGCTGCTTGATTGTATAAATGACAACTTAATGATATGATTGTTGTCGAGTGCCTTTATCAATTAAACTGGTGTATTTTGGATAAACTTACCTATTCACCCTCCCATGTGAAAAAGACCCATACTTAAACCTCCCTTTCAACGAGCTAATAAGGGTGTTTCATGAAAGAGATCTTACAAATCCAATATTCCAATTTTTTTATTCTTTCTTTTTATTATGTATGTAAGATGAAATGATGAATTGCCTCTCACTTGTTAACCTATTCAGAGTTTGCAAGCTAGATTGTCAAAGTGTTCTTAATAGAGAGTGAACCCCCAACCTCAAGATTGGGAGGCTTAATCCTTATCAATGGATCAAGCTTTGCTTGGTAATCCAATATCCTAGTGGGAGTGTTTGCTTACGAGAAAATTGTTAGAGAAGTTTGAGTCAAAAAATTTTACCGCCAAAAAGGAAAAAAAAAAAAAAAAAAAAAAAAAAAAAACAACAACAAAGCCTTAGTCCTTTTCTTCCAAAAATAAATAAATAAAATAAAATAAAATAAAATAAAATAAAAAAGTCTTAGTCTTAGAATGATTTGGAGTCGACTAACATGTATCATCATAAGAAATCGTACGATATAAAGAAAAGGATATAACAAAATAATCATTTGAAAGAGTTTGAAAAAGGTGAGTAAAGTTAGCAAACGAAAGAACATTTAAGAAAAAGTAAGGAAGTTTTAAAGGAGTGGTTAAAAAGTTGGAGTAAAAAACACATAAAGGTTTGAGAAAATTTTAGCAAAGGAAAGCAATATAGTTCATAAAACATTAGTGGGCTAAAATAATAAATTAAACGGAAATTATACATGGTGGCCTCATGAATTCAGTTTTTCTACGTGGAAGACGAACTTTTTTCCAACTCTCTTAAGTGGCACCAAGGTTTAGAAAAATTAACCATAGTGCCCTATTTTAGGTTTATGGCTAACTTTTTTAGTTAAAATGGTTAACCTTTTTTTTATTAAAAAATTATTTAAATTATTATTTAAATTAATAAAAAAAATTAAAAAAAGTAAAAAAAAAAAAAAACAAAATAACAAAATAACCAAAAAATTCCCAACCACCCCACAAACCCTAACCTTGTCGGAATCCGGCCAGCCACCAACTCCTGACCACCGAAACCACCTCTCAGCCAACTCCCGACCTCCAACTGAAACCACCACCTACGACTCACCTTCGCCCTCTAGTCAACCATCCCAAAACTCACCACAACCAACACCATCTTCTCTAACAATGAAACCCCACCAATTCAAACAACCACAATGCATGCACCAAATCGAACCATCCCACCGAAAGCCTGTACCACCACCCAAAACCCCACCAATTCCACCTAATCAAAATCGGCTCAGCAAATCAAAATCTTCATCGTCGTTCGTCTGTGTCATCAGATTTGAGTTCGCAAGTGGGCGGTGGTGAATCTGGGTTTGTGGGAGTCGATTTTTTGAGTTGGGTGGTGGTGGTTTCGAGTTAGGCGGTAAGAATGGTGGCGATTTCAAAATTTGTGGGAGTGGGTTTTTGTGGGTGATGGCAGCGGTTTAAGGAGGTTTTTTTGGTGCTGGTTTCGCTGCTTGCCAGTGGTGGTTTCGCAACTTGTCGATGGTGGTCGGGAGTTGGTGGCTGGTCGGATTCCGGCAAGGTTAGGGTTTGTGGGGTGGCTGCGAATTTTTGGGAATTTTTTTGTTTTACTTCTTTTAATTTATTATTTTAAAATATAATTTGAATAATTTTTTAATAAAAATATATCAAAGGTTAACCATTTTAACTAAAAAAGTTAGCCATAAACCTAAAAAAGGGCACTATGGTTAATTTTTCTAAACCTTGGTGCCACTTATGAGAGTTGGAAAAACGTTCGTCTTCCACGTAAAAAAGCTGAATTCATGAGGCCACCATGTAGAATTTCCCTAAATTTAATATGAAAATAAATTTCCCTAAATTTAATATGAAAATAAATTTAGAAAATCAATAACTACTTTAGGGCTATCTAAAGCTGACACGAACGTGACACGATATAAGCGAGTTTGGGTCAAGAATACTCAACCCGTTTAAGTAATTGGGTTGACAAAAACCCGACACGAAATTAAATGGGTTAAGTTTGGGTTGAAATTTTCAACCTGAAACTGACACGCATAACTCGATTGTATTAATGAGTTGAACGTCAACCCATTAATCTGAATCCGACTTATTGAACTTGTCTATTGAAGTAGTCAAAATAATTGAATTTTTTTGTGCCAATCTTACTAACCATTCTAACTACATAATTTGATAGTATAAATACTTAATTAAAAACTCTTAGCTGGCAAAATTTTATGGTTTAGGCGAACAAATATTACTAATCTTTCACTTTAAACTCTCCTATCGTCTTGACTTGCCCTTAGGCCCTGTTCTGTTCACCTTATTTCCACTTATTTTAGAAAAAATAAGTTCAGATAAGGGTTAATAAGTTCAGATAAGATAAGTTTATAAAAAATAAGTTCAGGTAAGTTCAGATAAGTTGTGATAAGGATTAATCAGGGCTACCCAAGTTCAATTTATAACTAAAATAAGTACTAATAAGGGCTAATAAGTTAAGATAAGTTCAAATAAGATCAGATAAGTTTAGATAAGTTTAGATAAGATATGTCTTTTTAAAAAAAAATATATATAAAATAAAATATGTCTTTTTTAATTTTAGATGATGCAAATAATAGAATTACTAGTATAACTTGTAACAAAGTTAAGGCTAGAGAGCTTATAAGTTCAATTTTCAACTTCATTTTTAGACTTTTAGACCGTTTAATGACAAATGGGTATCAAATTGTTTCCTATATACCATATTTTGGTTAAAACAGTTTGGTTGGCCCAAAGCCCATAACAAAATTAAATTAAGCCCATTAAATTTTAAATCCCAATATACCTCCCCATGTATCCTATAAATAAAATTAAAGTCGGAAATTAAGCATCTAAGGATGTAATCTTAACATCAAAATTTGTTAAGATATCCATTTTTTTTTTTTACATCTCAACTCTACAAACCTTTGATAACAAAGGCTACAACTTAAAAAGGTAACTACCATTATCAAAACTACTGCACAAGACCCACCATAATAAAGATATTAAAAAGCCAAACCCAGAACGTATTACATATACTGATTAACTGGTAACGTTTTTCATTGGTGTCTTACCTATACCCATTAATGTTATTCTTAACATCGGTGTCTTCATCATCTGATACTACTATTATGTAATAATTAAATTTCTTCTCCAATGCAAAGGTGTCATAATTATGTGTTGTCAAACATGTCTAAATAAAATGTATCACCAAATATTGACATCTATAGGGAAAGTATTTTATTACGTGATATATTTCTCGTCTGATTCTATCAATTAGCTATTGTAGAATTTTCACTAATAGTCTTTTATAATTTGATTTTTCATATAATTTTCATTAGAAACAAAAAAAAAAAAAAAAAGTGTAATCCCCCATAATTTTGAGTAAATTATAATTATATTTATTTATTACGTATACGAATATTTTATTTCGATTTTATTATATAAAATATTTTATAGAAAATTAATTTGAACTTTATTAAATTAATAAGCACTATTTTAATTAAAAATTCTCTTCTTACTTACTAACCATATTTTGACAATGGTGTTATAATAATAGTAGCCCAATTTCAAGTGATCTAAGGCTACCTCTTTTAACCATCCAATTGTGGTCCAAATAGATGTTTTAATTCCATTAGGATTAAAAACCCTTTTAACCCATTGTTATTTAAAAAGACTTGCACCTTATTTTCCCTTCTTTTACTCACGTCTAAACCTTTCTCCTCCCAAAATATTAGTGCTACTACTCTCCTGTTCACGCATTCAACCAGAAAAGAAAAAAAAAGTTTTTTTTTCCGCTGCAGTGCTGCTGACGCCGACGACAGCCCACCACCGGCGCCCACCGCTGCTCCGGCGACCACCGCACCTCACCCACGACCACCAGTTCGCACCCCTTATCTCTCTCCTTCCTTCTTTCTTTCCTCTTTGTTAAATTATTCCAATTATAATCTTTATTAAGTTTTTGTTTTGAATTGTTATTTTTATGGTTTAATGATGTTTAATTATCCTAAAAGATTATAAATTTATAAGTTTTATCATGTTTAAATTATGCATTAAAATTTCAGATTTATTTAGTTAAGAAAATTAGAGTTTAAAACTTGATTTTCATGTATTTAGAGTTCAAAAACGTGTTGCTAAAGTTATTTGATTATACTAGGTTTAATTTATGTTAATAGCTTTTTAAAGTATCATGTTTGAAGTTTAAATTAAATTTTCAGATTTTTGTAATTTGAATTTTATTGTTTTGGTATAAAAAAAAATAGGTTTTAATGTTTCTACATGTATATTTAAGCTATTATTCCATTATTACAAGTATGGGTTGTTAAATTTGCAAAGGATGCGTATAAATTAAATTTTTAGATTTGGTTGGTAGCTAGAATATGCTGTAATTTCGTATATAAAGATGTAATTTAAGGTTTTTGTGTAGGAAACATAAAAAACTATATAAAGGATTTTAATTCTAGTAAAAAGGAAGGTTTTAAAGCGTTGTTCAATTGAATTTTGAAGGTTTGATTGAGTTTTATGAAACTAATTGAATTCTAATTATATATTCCAAGTTTAGATTGTTGTATTCATACATTCTACTATTAAAGTAAATTTTCAGATTTTTAATCTTGGTTTTAAAGGTTTTAAATCTAGGTTTTATGATGGATTTTAGGTTTTTAACATACTAACCTACTATATAATGATTATTTCAAGTAGAGATGTTTATGAGGTTGTTTTATATTCTTAAACTAAATTTTCAGATTATAATCCTTACTTTAAAGTTGTTGGAATTTTATGTTAGAAGCTATATTTTCATGATTATAACATATAAACTTATAGTTGAACTATTAAATTATTAACTTTGGCTAATGGGAACAATTTAAAAGCATTATTTCAATGGTTTAAGGGGTTTTAAAGTAAGTTAGTATTGCTGTAAATTATATTGCTTGGGTATTGATTGGATTATTTTTGTTTGGTTTAGGAGAGGACTTTGTAGAAGGCGATTTTTAGTCCCTAAAGTGGCCAACCAACTCATTTACTCAAGGTACGTACAAGAACACGAAAACCTTGATTTTA